GAATTCCTCCAGAATTTTGAGAGGAATTCTCTAACAATTCGGAGAAGAATTCCTTCGAAATTACTCCAGAACTCTGGAATGAATTCCGGACGCGATACTTTCACAATCCTAGAGGTAAAGCCTCCAAACTTCCGGAGGACATTTCTTCAGAACAAGAGAGGAAATCTTACAGATGGCCAAAACGATTTTATGCATAATCCTTGAGAGATTTACTACTCCTGGAAGGTATTCCACCAGAATATGAAAAATAACTGAATTCCTTCAGAAATCCTGGAAGAGTTCCTCCTAGATTCCGGTAAGAAATGCAATTTACGATAACAGGTTTTCCAGCATGCCGACTGAATTCCTCCAACATTCCGAAAGGAATTGCTTCTGTGTTCTGAATACAATTTCTCCAGGATGTCCAAGGAAATTATGCCTGTATTTGAAGGCGAATTTCTCCTTAATTTCAAAAAAAAATTCCTTGATTATTCCAATAGACTTCGTTCAGAGCTGTGGAATTTATTTCTAAAGCAAATTCTTTCACAATTCCGGAGACATATCCACAAAACTGCCAGAGTATATTTCTTCAGAACTTCGGAGGGATTTTCCTGGAATTTGGGGAGGAAATTCTTCAGAATTCAATGGGGATTTTTCCGTACCCTTGGAAGATATGCATCATATTTTTATTCGCACCGTATTTTCCATAAAACAAAAACTTTTTTTTATGGAAAATACGGCTCGAGAAAAAACGAGAATATGGCGTATTTTCCTGGATTCCTAAATTCCCCAGTTCTAAAAGTTATGCTCCCGGAAACAGAAACCTGTAAGGAATTGGTAAAGAATTGTGAAACAAGTTATGATGGCAATTTCGTTACAATTGCGAGACCTCTGGAATGAATTCTCCAGAAATCCTGAGAGAATTTCCTAAAACTTCCAAGAGGAAATCCTCCAGATATTTGAAGAAATTCATCCAGAATTTCTGAAAATGTTTGTACTAAACTCCGGGACAATTTCGCAAAAATTCAAAAAGGAATTCCTCCATCATTTGAAGAGAAGTTCTTTCAGAATTCTGAATAAATTCCTCAAGGATTTCGTTCAATTTCCGGAATTTTCGCAAAGATTATGAATAGATTATCTCAAGAATCCCGTGGAGAATTTTGCAAGCGTTGCTAAAAAAATTTCTCCATGAGTTCAAGAGGAATTCCTTGATAACTCTGGGGAGAACTCATTTGCAATTCCAGACAAACATCTACCGCAAATCTGACCAGTATTCTTCCACAGTTTGGAGAAACGTTTCTGTCGAATTCTAATTTCAATGATCACAACAATTTTGGGAAAAAAATTAATCCTCTAGAATACTGAAAGGATTGAAATTTATCTGAAAAAAATGAAATTATCTGGAAAATCATCCAGGATTCCGCGAAGACTTATAGTTTATTCCGGATGAAACTCCTGCACAATTTCAAAATTCTGAATTCAGAATAAAATTCCTCACACACTTCGAGCAGAATCTCTCAAGGACTCCTAAGAGAATCGCTCCAGAATTTCAAGAAGAATACCACCACAATTACGAAAAGAATTTGTTCGAAATTTGGAAAAGAATTCCTCCGGAACTGTGGAATGATCTCCACACGCAATACTGTCACAATCCAAGAGGTAAATTCTCCAACCTTCCAGAGTGAATTTCTTCATAACTACAGAAGAAATGCTACAGAATTCCTGGAAGAACTTATCCGCAATCCTTGGAAGATGTTCCTCTACAATCAAGAATAGCTCCAGCAGAATTCGTGGATTAAATGCCTTCTGAATTCTTGGAAGAGTTCATCCTAGATTCCGGGCTGAAATACATTTACGGTAATAATTTATCCATTCTGGAAGGAATTTCTCCAGCATTTCGAAAGGAATTGCATCTGAATTCTGCAAAAAAAATCTCCAGGATTTCTAAGGGCATTTCTTTAGACACCATGGAGATTTTTTTTCCAGAATTTAAAGTGGTTTTCCTATTTAATTTCAAAATGAAATCCTTCACAATTCCGGAATGAATTCGTCCAGGACTGTGGAATGGATCTTTGACGCAAATTCTTTTACAGAGACATATCCACCAAACTTCCGGAGTACATTTCATCAGAGATTTTCCAGAAATTTTGGGAGGAAGTCCTTAAGAATATCTTGATGATTTTTTAGAATTCATGGCAGATTTTTTCCATAACTCTTGGATGTTATTATTCAGTATTCAATTTTATTACAGTTCTAAAAGGTATTCTTCCAGGGACAGATACCTACATGGATTTGGTCTATAATTGAGGAATGAGGTTTGCAGACCATTTCGTTAAAATATCAGGAAATCCTCCAGTATTCTAAAAGGAATGTCTCCAGCATTCCGGAAGGAATTTCTTCTGCTTTCTGAATGGAATTTCTCCAAGATCTCTAAAGGAATTTCTCCATAATTTCAAAAGAGGTTCCTGCAACATTTCGAAAAGAAATCATTCACCATTCCGGAATGAATTCCTCTAGAAATGATAGATGTATTGCTGACGCAATTCTTTCACAATTCCGAAGTTATATCCACCAATCTTCGGAAGCACATTCGTCCAGAGAGAGAAACCTCTCCAGAATTTCAAGAAGAACACCACATTCTTCCAGAGAGAGAAACCTCTCCAGAATTTCAAGAAGAATACCTTCACAATTGCGAGAAGAATTTGTTTGAAATTTGGAAAAGAATTCCTCCGGAATTGTAGAATAAACTCCAGACGCAATTCTTTCACAATCCCAGAGGTAAATTCTCAAATCTTCCGAAGTGAATTTCTTCATAACTACAGAAGAAATCCTACACAATTCCTGGAGGTTTTTATCTATAATCTTTGGAAGATGTTCCTCTACAATTCTGGACGGAATTCTTTCAGAATTTTAAGAATAGCTCCAGCACAATTCGTGGATAGATCCCTTCTGAATTTTTGGAATTCCTCCAAGATTCTGGGATGAAATACATATAATTTATGCATTCTGGAAGAAATTTCTCCAGCATTCCGAAATGAATTGCATCTGAATTCTGCAAAAAATCTCCAGAATTTCTAAGGGAATTCACTAAGAAATCATGGAGATTTTTTTTTCCAGGATTGAAAGAGGAATTCTTCTTCAATTTCATTATGAATTCCTTAACAATTCCGGAATAAATTCCTCCAGAACTGTGGAATGGATTTTTGACGCAAATTCTTTTACAATTCAATATACATAAACACCAAACTTCCGGAGTATATTTCATCAGGATACCAGTGGGATTTTCCAAGAATTTTGGAAGGAAATCCTTAAGACTTTCTTGATGATTTTTTAGAATTCATGGCGAATTTTTTCCATAACTCTTGGAAGTTATGATTCAGTATTCAATTTTTTTAACAGTTCTAAAAGGTATTTTTCCTGAGACAGAAACCTGTATAGAATTGGTCAATAATTGAGGAATGAGGTTCGCAGACAATTTCGTTACAATGGAGGAAATCCTTCAGTATTCTGAAAAGAATGTCTCCAGCATTCCGGAAGGAATTTCTTCTGATTTCTGAATGGAATTTCTCCACGATTTCTAAAGCAATTTCTCCATAATTTCAAAAGAGGTTCCTGCACCATTTCAAAAAGAAATCATTTACAATTCCGGAATGAATTCCTCCATGAATGTATCGCTGACATTGTTTCAGAGGGATTTTCCCGGAATTTCGGGAGGAAATTCAACAGAATACTTTGCAGAATTTTTTTTCGGAATTCTCGATTTCGAAATTCCACAGATCTAAAAGGTATTCTTCCAGAGACAGAAACCTGTAAGAATTTGGTATAAAATTGTGATATGAGTTTTGGAGGAACTATCGTTTCAATAACGGTGGAAAATGAAGCAGTCTTCCGGAGTAAATTCTTCAGATGTCCTGAGAGAATTTAAGGGAAGAATCAAATCCTCCAGATGTTTGATGGAATTCATTCAGAATTCCTAGAAGTGGTCCTAGAAAGAATTTTTCTATAATTTGAAGATTGTTTTCTTCGACCGGAAAAATCTAAAATTTGTTAATTGTTTTGCTATTAAGTCTGGAACTACTATATTTTGGAAAATTAGGCATTAGTCAAACTTTCAGAATTCAGGCACAAACTTGGTTCATTGCCTCTAGTGAACAATCATGTGAAGTTTAATGGGATTTGGAGAGGTAAAATAAAACTGACTCGTCAGTTGGTCGCAACTCCGGAGGAACATTGTTTTGAATTCCTGTAAAAACTCCACCAGAATTTCAAAAAGAGTTCATGCAAGATTCCGAATGAAATTTCTCCGCAATTTTTGGAGGCATTCCTCGAAAGTTTGGGGAATAATCCCTCAAGAAATCCAGAAATTTCTCCATAATTTTGATAGCTATTACTTGAAAGTTTGGAGAATAATGCCTCAGGAAAACCAGAATTTTTTTAGAGGTCCGGGAGCAATGATTTAAGAATTTGATCATAATTTTATTCAAATTTTACCAAAAATAGATCCTAGTTATTTCCTAAAAGCATTGCTCCAGAACAACGGAAGAAATTTCTCCATACCATGGAAGGGAATTTCTCCGAAATTCCAAGAGAAGTTTATTTTGAATTCTGATAGGGATTCTGTCCTAATCCCTAGAGGAGCTCTATCAGACTTCCAACAGGAACTCCGAGCAATTCAAAAAGAAATTCACCAAAAAATCAAAGGCTAATTCTTAAAGGGCCCGAAAGAGAATTTTTTCACAACTCAAAAATCTTCTAGAGCTCCAGAAGGAATCCCCCCAGAATTCCTGTAGGATTTCTACCAGAACGCTGATAGAAATTCCTACCAGAATTGTCAATAGAGCTCCTCCTGCAATTCTAGAGAAATTCATCCGGAATTCTAGAGGAAATCCTTCAACAACTTTGAAAGGAAGTTTCCCTTGAATTCCATTTCTCTGCAATTCTTCATACCGAAATCCCATCCAATATTCCGCAATCATTTCATAATTCCCTTATTCTCCAAAAAAAATCTCCATCCCTCACAGCAAATCACCATCGGAATCCACTCGGGCGAGGTCGTCACCGGAGTCATCGGCAACCGGATGCCCCGGTACTGCCTATTTGGCAACACGGTCAACCTGACGAGTCGCACGGAAACGACCGGCATCCCCGGGCGGATCAACATCAGTGAAACGACATACAAGTAAGTGGTCCGCAATCAATCCAACAAATCGATATATTTCATGATTTTCCGAGGCACATTAAGGCGGTTGATTCCGCGCGGTAGTTGAAAGTTGTTTCGCAGCTGATTCCGTACGTGACAGCGGCAAATGGATTTCAGGCTAGGCACTCCGAACAGTTGGTCCTGCGGGATGAGCTGGTCCTGCAGCAGCAGGCCGTACTTGATTTGGAACATTTCCTTGCGAACGTGGAAGAGAGCCGGTTTGTACGGCAGTTCGATCATGACGATACAGCGGAGCAGAAGCTTGAGGCAGGACACCAGCTGGTAGGGGTACGATCGGTTCTCGTATTCGCGGAGCTTATCCAGAAGACTGATGATGGGGGATGCTCCACCGTCGTCCGGATCGGGATTGGCACCGTGACTGGAATGGAATGCCGTTAGGTCGTGCTTTTATTGAAAGATAGCTCATTACCGCAGGAGAATCGTAAGGATGTCAGGAGCTGATGCCTGAATGGCAACACGCAACGGGGCTGCTTTTCCACACGATTCGATTGGGATGTCGATGAATCTGCAGGTGATTCAGAAGGAAGCGGTTATTTTTGACAGACGTTTTCACCGTTATGCTTCTTAGAATGAATTACAAGTAGATGATTGTAGATAAGTTCAAAATGAAAAAGTTGGCTGAAGATTGTAGTTGGCTTGAAGGGGATTATAATTAGCCAACTCTTAAGCGAAACGTCCGATTCAAACCAGGTATTTGAAACACTTGATTGTTTTCGTTAACTCTACAAAACTCCGAATTGTAGCACTCACTTCGTTGGCACTAGGTCATGGTAAGCGTACGAATAGCTCGGAAGACTCAACCTCGTCTGGCCGGCATGATACAGGAAGAACACCATCGCCCGCAGATTCTCGTCCTGATCCTTGAAGTCACTCTTCCACCCGGAAATGAAATGCGGTGCATTCGAACCGAACAGTGCTCCCAAAAACAGTCTCTCGTACGTCTTCTCACAACCGTAGATCTCCTCTATAATTGAATTAACCGTCAATAGGACTTCACTTTAATCCCCGTTCCTTGGTCTCACCCAGCAGCAGCCGAATCACTACCGAATCCTCCAGACTCCAGTCCCACGCGACCCGCAACGCAATGTACAGCACATTGTGATACTTCCCCATCATGCACACCCGATAGTTGTCGTCCCTCATCTTCCGGTGGTAGTCGATGGCCGACTTGACCGCCAAACTGACCGCCAGCTGAGCAGTGGCCGTCTTCCGACCCTCAATACATCCGGAAATGACGGAATTCAAGTGGTCAATCACGTCCCTCCGACCGCTGCGGCTCTTCAGCCCACTGCGCTCCAACGTCAGCAACGATTCCTCGAAAAACACATCGAAAACATACTCCATTATTCGGGGAAACAGCCAAGGACAACTTTTAGCAATTGCAGCTTCCGTTAATTAGCTTCCCGGAAGCCATGCACCAACAAACAAACGTAACTTTCAATTAGAGATCCGAAAGCAAGAACTTCCTATGTCCGTTCTGGATCGAACGGAAAAGTTGACTGTCGTCGTCGTTCGGACTAAGGCACTGAAAGCGGAATTTTAATTACCTTTCCCCGAGGCGCACTTGAGGAGGTACTTGGTGATACGTCACAGGTAGGAGCAGTAGTTAAGCAGACAGAGCCAGCACCATCAGCAGTAGGTTATCGATTCCGCTCTTCCTCGCCACCCACGAGGGACGATTCAAAACTTTGCGTTGAACGGAAAACCAGAGAGGGGGGGTGGGGGTGGGGGGGCTTCTGTATTTGAGTTTTGCTTTAGCTTTTACTGTGAAATGGTTTCCAAACAAATAATATTGCACTGCAAGAGGCCCTGGCAAGAAGAGGACACGAACGAAAAAAAGGTACCCATCACGCGGGCGGTAGGGGCTCCGACGATGGTTCAAAAGTTTACCTTGTCGGGCTTCCATTTCCAATATTGGCGATTCGGCAGCTGAATGGGAAGTGAAAACATACAGGAATACCTAGGTAGGAAGGAAGAAAAAAACACGGCAGCGCGTAATCCCCTGGGGGATTTGACCAACCTCAACCGGACGACAGGAGGGGGGGGGGGAAAGTTTGGGGTTTGTTATTCGAATTCGCTTTCATCGTAGGCAGCGAATTGGAGGGCTGCCTTCAAACTCACGGAAGCGTGGGGTGTTTTTGATTTCGCACACAGTTGAGTGATTAGGTATTACCTACTTTAAACTGTGTGCATGGTAAATATAAGGGTGAGGTAGAATATGTTTAATGCGATGGGTTGGTGAAATTCGAGATGCGATGTTTCTAAGTCATCACAGTCAACGAAACTTATGGATTGCTTTCGATTGGTGTTCTATGACATCTTTTTCAAGGATTCTACGAAGAATGGTTAGTTATGTATGTTACATTTACATTTTGGTTTTGGTGAACATTGAAACATTGGGCAGCGGTTCTCAAACTTTTGTCGATTGCGAACCGCTTCCATGTGGTCGTGACCTACACTGAAAATGAATCTTACTCAGAGAGTGAGTCACTTTTAATTTGTAAAAGCTTACTCTCTGAGTAAGTTTCGTTTTCAGTGCACCAATATTGTATACAGATGTTTTAAGGCCCAGATTACCGTAGAAACTCATAAATGGTTTCAAAGCTCTAAAAAATAATTCGAACTGTAAGATTGCCTGAAACCAAACAAGCTCCGGGATATAATGTTGCTGCATGTTTATCAGATTCTAGACACATTGGCGGTTTTGCTATTTATGCCAAAGAATCAATTCAATTCGACCTTAGTATCAACAAAGTTATCGATGGTAACTGGTTCTTGAGCATTACAGTAGGATGAGGTTTTCCTATGTGGAACATTATTATTGGGATTAATCAAGTAACATATCAAAAATTGAGCTTTTTTCGTTGTCATTTAGAGCTGGCGCAAGGGATCTGAGTCCAAATCGTACGATGAGCTTTTTCAAATAAAACACATATTCTTCTATAAGTAAAACGTAATTTTGGGATCCTTAAGGGCGAAAATTGTGTATTTTACAATACCCTCTCTTGTTCTCGTGATAAATAGTAAAGTGAGGTTCCCGAACACGGATTTAAGGCATAGAAGTAACCAGGCATGGAAAATCATTTGCATTCATTTTATACATTCATTTGCTTCTAACTTTTTTCGTCAACAGCATTCCGCAAAATGATGTGTAAAGGTTTTGTAGGTTTTGTTATTAACTCCAACTTTTACTCATAACTTAAATATGTATCTCTTATACATCACGAACTAGAGCGGACAGAACTTGTTACTGTTTTTCAGTGAATGTAAAATACATTCACTGAAAAACAGCAGTGGCTTCTGTTCGCTCTGGTTCGTCATGCATAAGATATACGGATTTGACTTGTTAACAAAAGTTGTAGCTAATACCAAAACCTACAAAAGCTATATACATCATTTTGCGGAATGCTGTTGAAGAAAAAAGTCAAAGGCAAATGAATGTAAATGAATGCAAATGATTTTCCATGCCTGGAGGTAACTCAATGGCCAGAAGGTCCTGAAGAAACGTGATCAACTATTTGGCTCAGCTCTGGTACTCTCTTCGGTCCCAACTAATCGATTCACCCCTCGAAACATGGAAAAATTCACGAACCCCTCATTTTATTGGTCAAACTTTCAAGTAAATAAAAAACCAGCATTGTGTAGTACTAGAATTTTGACTAGAATGGGGTACTCTTTAGATGTACTTGGGACCAATAGGCTAGTCAAGTAGTGAGCCAATTGAAAATCGTTAGTTTCCAACGGTTGGTAGTAGGCTCTGCCCGCGAACAGCTGGTTTTGTTTTCGTTGTCGCTGATTTCGTGCGTTTTCCGCGTATTTTTCAACTCGTAGTAAGCCAATCGTTCTCGCGTGTAGGGTTACGGGATGTAATGTCAGCCTAGCCTCTCACTTTGGCCTATCAGACAAATAACTCATTCATTCAGCAATAATACACAATAGTAGTGAAAAACTAGTACCACATCTGCTGTGAAATTGTAATGCATAAATGAATTGCCTAATATCGCCGTATTATTCCACTAACAAAAATCTACACTTCGGTGGTCATCAACAAACCTGATAATTTCATGAATTGAAGGGACTTACCTTTTGGAACATGCTAGGCTAGTAAATCAATATCACACTTTTCACTATTATTGAAAATTTAGATGATTTAACGCTTTTAGCGCTTCATAACATAACTATGGACCGAACATACGGAACGTAATTTGAAGACGTGTTCCTAATTATGGCCTACAAACTTTATTTGATCTCTTTGTTTTGGTATTGATGAAACCATTCGCGTTGACGACGACTTTGCAACTGCTCACTCCTATCTAGCTTTCCATGCTCGGTAATGGCGGCCTGCTTGTATGAATAAATGTATCCTTCATTGTGTTTTTGACACTAACTGGAGGGCGTATGTTGTTCCATTTTCTGCTGTTCCTGGGAGCGGGAAAGGGAGGGGTCAGAATCCGAACCTCCAGATAGCACAGTGAAGGATATATTTATTCATACAAACCATTACCGAGCATGGAAAGCAAGTAAGGAAGACCCCATAAGCAAATGCCGAATTTCGATAAACATAGCAGATCGTTTCTTATTCTTTCACTCCACTGAAAAATCCCTTAGGCAAAATGTTAACCTTTGCAAATGGCAAATGGTACACACGCTGTTTCCAAACAACCCAAATTTGAGAAGGATCTATTCATATTCGTCATAACCCAAGTAACAATTTTGGTTTTATGATGGTTCTGTAGACCACGATTAAGACTTGTAGAATGCTATAAAACCTCTATAAATCTTGCCATGTTACTTGGAAAGTAGGGTACCCCAAATTTAAACAAAGTTTAAACTAACATGATGACGAATGTAGGACATCGACCTGAATCCGAACGATGTTTTTCAATTGTCATCTTGTCAGTTCCAACTTTGTTTGCTTAATTTAGGGTAGCCCTACTTCTGACGGATATGAGTAGATCCTACTCAAATTTGGGTTGTTTCGAAATAGCGTGCAGTCAATCCTCCCGTCAAAACAAAATACACGGAAAATGAGGCTGACTCATATTTGAATGCCGTTCACTTAAATTTGCAAAAGCGTAAGTCACTCCAAGATTGAGTAAATGTTTATCAAATATGAGTAAATGTCACTCATATTTGAGTGACATTTATTCATATATGAGTAAAAAATATACTCATATTTGAGTAAAATATTCATTCTATGCTTAAGGTGATTCCCAAAATAATAAGGAGAAATTGAAATTGTTAAAGAGCCTGAATTTACAAAAAGGCGACATCTTATCCATTTGACAGGTCTTCTGCTCGATTGGAATGACTTTTCCTATGACTTTGACAGACAATCGATTGTTCCAATTTTGACATATCGTCTCTTTATAAATTCAGGCTCTTTAGAAATTGTGAAGTGTAATAGAAAAATGGACTCTAACAAGGAAACACTTTAAGGGCTGCACAAAATGACAGCGGCACAGTGCCAAACGCGCAATGTACTAAAATCGCGCTAACCGCATTCCTACCCACTATGCATGAGCGCAAAATCTATTTGTTTTTCCTCTTCCGTTTTATGCTGTACGTAAACAAACCACGTAAACGGACTGGTTTTCTTTATTTCATAGAAATTAGATACGTTTCACGCACGCACACTAGCGGAAGCAACACCGTGTAGACTCGTTTATAATTTTCCTGTGACTAACCTAAAAAATGTATGGAAGTAGATCTTTCAAAATGAGTTTGAACTAAAGCCCTCTAGTTAAAGTATAGACGATTGTCACCACAAAACTGAAAAAAAGCTGTTCCAATCGAGCAAAGCGGTCCATACTTTTACTATAGGGCTTTAGTTTGACCTCGATTTGCTATGGATTTTCCTCGGATATTAACACGGCGAATGAGAACGACCCAAATTTGAGTTTAGTTCACTCATAATCGCCAAAAGTGCAGGAACTCAGCGATGAGTAAAATTTGTCCCATGGTTTCCTGTGGAAAACCTAAAAAATCTGCCGTAAAATGAGGAAATTGACGAAAATTTTATTCAGTCTCGAAGTAGTACCAATAGACTGAGTGAATCCAATCTTTACTTTTCTCAAATTCGGGAATTTTTCCCTGGAAAATCCTGGAAAAACCTGGGAAAACATGAGGCAAATTAACTCATCGCTGAGTTCCTGCACTTTTGGCGATTATGAGTGAACTAAACTCAAATTTGAGTCGTTCTCATTCGCCGTGAACTAACACGCTCCCACATATCGCACCACCACGGACGTAAAAATCCCTAAAGCTTACAGCTCCATCGAGAACAATACGCGTTTTAATCCGGATTTTAGAAAATCTGGATTAAATCCTTATCCTCGATTCGGTAAGCACCAAGAGAGGATTAAACTATGAAAGCACGCATCCATTCTCTCTCGTATTGTAGAGAGTGTCTTTGTGTGAGTGCACTCACGGGAGAGCTGTCAATCAGCTGATAGTTCATTTCTTTTTTGAATAACATGCATGGGTGCATCGTTTCACC